ATCACCGATTCGGCCAATTTTTGCTATCAGGTGATGCCTTTCGGATTGAAGAACGCTGGAGCCACATATCAAAGGTTGATGAATAAGGTGTTTCAGAACCAGATTGGGAAAAATATGAAAGTATATGTAGATGACATGGTCGTCAAATCCGAAGACCTTGATCGGCACCTATCTGACCTTGCAGAAGTATTTCAACAACTTCGTAGACATGACATGCGATTGAATTCAGAAAAGTGTGTATTCGGCGTTTCCGGGGGTAAGTTTCTCGGCTTCATGCTATCGGCTAGAGGCATTGAGGCCAATCCTGACAAATGGCAAGCAATCGTCGGTATGAGAAGCCCCCAAAACCTTAAAGAGGTGCAACGGTTAGCCGGACGGCTCACGTCCTTGTCAAGATTCCTGCCATGCCTAGCTGAAACGGCAAAGCCTATCATTAGGCTGCTAAAAAAAGTGAAGAAGTTCGAATGGTCGACTAATTGTGAAGAAGCGTTTCAGACGTTAAAGCAACGCCTCAGCTCTCCTCCAATCCTCTCAAAACCCGATCCCCGGGCAAACATAGTTATATATTTGTGTGTGTCGGACGAAGCAATCAGTGTTGTGTTAGTGCAAGAAAAGGAAGTACAGCAGCCTGTGTACTTCATCAGTAGGATGCTCCAAGATGCCGAAACAAGGTATCAACTTCTTGAAAAAGTAGCGCTCGGGCTAGTACACACGGCCTGGCGCCTTCAACAATATTTTCAGAGCAACCGCGTAATAGTTCGTACCGATTGCCCTATCGCCAAGGTTTTGCGCAAACCTGAACTAGCCGGACGCATGATGGCATGGACAATCGAACTTTCAGAGCTTGACTTGTCATTTGAACCACAGAGACCGATTAAAGCACAATACCTAGCAGATTTTGTCAATGAGTTGCAGCCACAAGGAGATTTCGTCAGTGACTTATGGACGATGCATGTTGATGGTTCTTCGAACAACCAAGGCAGTGGAGCAGGAATAATCCTGCAAGCACCAACTGGGCTAATACTCGAGCAATCTTTACGATTTGCATTCAAAACCTCAAATAACCAGGCCGAGTACGAGGCATTGCTGGCCGGTTTGAGACTTGCGCAAGAAATCGGAGCTCGGCGAGTGGTATGCTGGACTGACTCGAAAGTTGTATCGGAACAAGTCAACGACAATTTTCAGGTAAAAGACCCCAACCTGCTGAAATATTATCACTTGTTTCGGAGGATGCATGACACCTTCGATGAGGTACAAGTAAAACATATGCCGAGGGAACACAACGAAAGAGCCGATCAACTAGCTCAGTTGGCTAGCAGCAGCCGAAAACTGGGACAACTAAGAACTACACTCCACCTTGACCTCGCCACTCCAAGCATAACACCGATTGAATGTTTGACGACCGAAAAGCCTACCCAAACTTGGATCACCGAAATAATGGATTACCTTGAATTTGGAAAAGAGCCATCTGATCCTTCGGCCGCCAAAAAACTCTGAACACAAGCAGCCAGGTATTCGGTCATTGGTGGACAACTATACCGCAGGGGTTTCTCGGTACCTCTCTTGAAATGCATTGATTCTGCACAAGAGGACTATGTTCTAAGAGAAGTTCATCAGGGTATATGCGGATCTCACTCGGGAGGGAGGACGTTAGCTATGAAGGTGCTTAGAGCAGGCTTTTATTGGCCAACTCTCAAAAGCGATTGCATGCAATTCGTCAAGCATTGTCTTTCATGCCAAAGACATGGAAACCTTATTCATGCCTCGGCCGAAGAACTACATAGCATTAGCTCGTCGTGGCCGTTCGCAATGTGGGGAATGGATATCCTAGGACCATTCCCGATAGCTAAAGGTCAATGCAAGTTTTTATTGGTCGCAGTTGATTATTTCACAAAATGGGTCGAGGCCGAACCGCTGGCCAACATCACAGCAGCCAATGTTCAGAAGTTCTTGTGGAAAAACATTATCACTCGCTTTGGAATTCCTTATGCCCTTGTAACTGACAACGGTCTCCAGTTCACCGATCAGAAACATAACCGATTCATCCAAGACCTCGGCATTAAGCACTGGTTCACATTAGTTGAACATCCACAATCAAATGGTCAAGCCGAAGTGGCCAATAAAGTGATCCTCACAGAGTTAAAAAAGAGATTGGGAGATGTTAAAGGAGCTTGGGCCGAAGAACTAACGGAGGTCCTATGGGCTTATCGGTGCACCCCTCAGTCCACAACAAAGGAAACCCCCTTTCGGTTAACATATGGTATTGATGCCATGATCCCCGTTGAAGTCGGGGAACCATCTTTTCGGCAACAACACTTAGATGAGAACAACAATGAGGCATCCCTCCGAGCCGAAATAGACATGGTCGATGAAATTCGTACCAAAGCGCAGATCATGGTCGAAGCCTGCAAGCAGCGCATGGCTAGGTGATTCAACTCAACACTCGCGAAGAGGGAGTTTCATGAAGGAGACCTTGTGTGGCTGGTACAAGGGTCGGCAAGACGCAACCCTCGGGAAGGCAAGTTGGCGGCCAACTGGGATGGACAATTTAGAATCCGACACAACCTTCAGAACGACGCTTACAAGCTTGTAATAATAATAATAATTATTATTATTATTATTATTATTATCCGCAAATTGTAAATGGTTTATGGTGGCATTCCACTGAAGATTCAATGAACTATTCACTTTTTCCCCTTAGTATATATTAATCGCACATCATATATATTTTCTTAATATTCGTCTAATAAATTAAAAACAGAACTATAAAAAGACAAATGATATTATATGGAATGTCTATACTAAAATTATTTTAAAATTTGTGGCCATTTTTTATTTTATTTTTATTTTTATTTTATTTGTAGTGTTAGGATCACGAACAATAATCCACATGATATAATGGGGGTACTTAAATTTATGAATTGTGAGCTTAGTCATTAGATTTTCATTTTTTCTTATCCAAGATTATACCTATCTCCGTTACACCTTTTATTTTATTATTTTAAAAAATATGCCCACGGCTTCTTTTTTTCAATATTGAGTGTTTGTGTAATAATATTTAAATTTAGGGGAAAGTACGTCTATTAATCAAGAATGGTAGAAGTATTCGAGGGAGATGAATGCAATTATTTCTAATATTATTAGAATTTGAACATGCTATATAATGACTAACCGCCGAATTTATAGCTTTGTTGTTGAGGTTGTATGATTGGACATAATTTTTGTGTGAGAAAATTATAAGAAAAAAGGGGGAGAAATTATGATGTTAAGCTGATGGGTGTATCAATTTAGCCCTGAACTCTGAAGTGACATCAAAGTCATTCTATGCGCAAATTGCATGATTGAAAAGTAAAAATGATGTCCTTTTCTATTATTAAAATACTAAATTGATGTTCATTATTATATATGATTGAGGCACTGAATTATGCTATGCTTTCTATTATTAAAGGACTAAATATCATTTTTTTTTATCAGAGAAGTAATGTGATTGATATCATTTATCTTCCGATAATCCAATTAATATTAACAGTCACCAAAATGGAATGGTAGTTTATCCTAAAACGATTCATCTCTATTCATTTAATATACTGAAAATTTCAGTAGAATTAGCCCCTGAAAAGTTCATCTTTCTTCACTTAATTTGTTTAATATTTTCGACAACATATAATGCAGTATAGAGGTTTTACACTGTATCATGAATCATGATTCATATGATTGGTGTTGTGAAAATACTAAATACATTTATGCACACTGTTAGTGTATGTTCGTTCACCTAGACACCTACTCTATGTAAATACTTAACACTACTCCGGAAAAACTCCAACTTTTACATTATCGGTTTGGTCACGTTGTTTCCTCTTTTCGCGGGTTCACAGTTTGGGAGGCTAAGTTTATGGTTAATACAATGGGAAAAGAAGAATGAACGTCTATATGGATCATTTTCTACCAGTTCTTCAAAATTAATAAAATTGTTCAGTGTTGCCAACCAATGTGTTTAAGAATCATTACTAGTACTACATTGCCGTGATGTAAGAACAAACCCTGACGTAGTATTTACTATCATTATGGTGTTCACTTTTCAGTGTTTTACTCATGGATAGGAGTTGATTTAGTGATAGAGAATTTTAGACAATAAGCACGGAATTTTCAAACTATTCCACGTCATTGACGGGACCTTACTAACCATAATGATAATAACTTATCACCTATAATGACGAGAACAAGAAATAAAATAAACTTCAGACTGAATTGATATCGGTAATCAAGTGGTACTTATTGTATACTAAACCACAAATATTTTGCTTCATATAAAGTTCATTTATGCAGGCTTGAAACATGTCCAATATTATTTTCTTAGTGGTTATTTATGACCCAAACTCAAATTCAACCAAAAAATAGTGAATAGAATAGTACCAACACTTACCCCTCACCCAATGGTGGTTGGCATTAACTTGTAATGTCAGGAGTCGAAAAATTGCAAATTAAATGAAGACTTAACCTAATAAAAACACAATAACCCCCCTTTTTAATAGTGAAAGATATATTCAATTCACATTGCAGGAATCACTGTGAACCGTTGATTTATATCAGAGTCAGAAAAGGATATTTTAGAGAAATAGTTTAAGAATTAAATACTCACATACATAGTTTAAAAAAATTGCATACATCTCTTAATACCCATAACAATACTCCTTTCTTAAAAACATGACTATAAACTAAAGCAAAAAATATCATATTTTTTTGTTTTATTCTAACAAAATTATAATTTTTCCTTGCAGATTATGAGTTGTAAATACAATTAACGAGAATGGAGGGAGAAGGATGAAGAGAGAGGTGAGTATGGAGTCATAAAATGTCATTTTACAGAAAAGAATCATTTTATTGATTATTACTGTATTGCCATTTGCATATTTTGCGTAATACTACTAGTTACTGAATCGGGCACAGATTTCCCTGCCATCTTATTACATAGAACCTTCTCATCCCACCACCAACACAACCTCCTAATGATTTTTAGCAGCAGTACTAATTGAATCTAAATAGCATATATAATAATAATAATAATATATGCACTATATATTGTTTTAGACGACTTGAGAAGCTTTTGTTCTCTAGTCTAAGACCCAAATCCACAAGGAGAAAATCGAGAAGGAGAAAGAAAAAGAGCATCACAAAAACGTGGGAAAACCAAACCCATAGCAGCAGCTTCTATTAACCATTCAAGTAACCTGGCCTTCATATTCCGTTGACTTTTTACATCTTTGGAATTTCCTGTGCAGCTGCATCAAGGCATGTGCAATCAGTGTAAGTAAATAGAAAATGTATTAACTAAGGTCAACTTAATGGCAATTAGGAAAATAATATGGCTAGAGAATGTATTAACTAACCCCAACACCCTCTAACCAAAAATATTGAGAATAACACAACAAGAAGCTTCATATGCCCTAGAATAATACTGTTTATTTTTTATATTTTATATTTTGGCATTTGATATTCAAGCTCACATGGTAGAGAAGGAACACCCACTTGAGGCCAAGTGGATGACCATAACCGGGTCAAAGGCATGATGGGAATGTACTGTGCTTGAACTTTGAAAAGATTTTTTAAATGAAATTGTGCTTTGAACATCCAATTTCACCAAGTAGAGTGCATTATCAGTAACGGTAAACATAAATGGAACTATGTGAGAACATGAAGAAAAACAGATGAAAGATGTCATGCAGGATGAAGGGAGAAAGTCTTCATAATTAATGGTTTATTAAAGTTAACAAGATCCCATTTATAAGCTAGTTATCACGGAACATCAGATATGAAGTTAGAATCTCACTATTTTCGTTCATAACGAGTCTTGACAAGAGCTCTTTATTGACAAGAGGTGAATCTAGAATTCTGTCCAAAGGTTCCAAGCATCCAACATGCTGTTTCCAACAATTTTCCTGTCATTCCATTCAAAACTTTAGCTTTAAAACAAACTATTTAAACTGATATTTATTTAAGCAATTATAATGTATCACTGAAATATGAGAAAAACCAAGCAGTTCTTAGACAATCAATTTATATAGATTAGCATGTCGAAAGAGATACCAAAGAAATCAACAAAACGTCATTTAACAAGTCAACCATAGACTTCTATATTACAAGGTTGGAGTTGGAGATAACCAAGATTAAGCTCACAGACATGAAACGAACATAAAATTCATTCCAGCTGGAAAACTTTGTCTTTTACATCATTCATCACTTTCATCTTCTCTCTCTTTCCTTCTTTTCTTTTTCTCCAGATATCATTACTTTCCATCTAGTTCCCACTTCCCATAATCTCGTGCAAGCATGCACAAAGTAGGAATTTCTAAAGTATTTAACAACTTTGTGAGAAATGGTGAACCCTCAAATAAGCAAAAGGTTATAACTAGAAAACGATAGATAATGAAATATGATTGGTAGTTACTGAGTCCTCTAAAGTGAATTTACTTTAAAGGAGTAATCTCATTCCCAGTTGTTGATTAGAAAATTAATAGTTAATATTATACATGTATTGCAATATTAATCATTGATTTTCTCATCAAAAGTGTGATTATTTATATGTATAGACATGGGACAATAAAATATTGTCAAAATTTGAAGCCGTGCTACTTAAAGGTCCAATCCAATTAAATAAGATTCAGGAAGTTTCCCACTCCAATTTTCTTGTTTATAGCAGCTATAAGAACCCTCTGTCCATAACTTTTTTTCAAAAGTTTCTTTCCACCTTTCAGAAGCTTGATCTAACAAGTAATTCGATACATTGAGTGGTGTCACTGCCACTTTATAAAGCTTTTAAACTAGTTTCTTAAAACATAAGAATCCTATTTTCCACATCAATATTCTCAGTATTTTTATTTTGGTTGGTTAAGACCTCATATATGACAATCAAGCATGAATTAGATAAGATCACTTTAGGTAAAAAATCTCTCCTCCAAGCATTTAATATAATTTCATATCCAAATCTCGAATTCAAAACCTATTAATCTCGTACCAATTATTTAATTCATACAGTCGTCTCACTATTTTCCAGTATAATGATCTAACCTAATGAACATACAGAAACCAGAACAAAACAACATAACACTCCTTCAACCTTAACAACTCAAGTCCTACTTTAAATTCTGACATAATATTCCAAACGCCCTACTCAAGAAACTACCTCGAGTATATCATTCTCTCATTCCCCTAAGAAGCAAAGTTCCATCAATCACTTACAACTCTTCTAATTACAATTTCAACCCCCGTCCCCAACAACACGCAATAATGCTCAAATCAACACCACTAAAACAAAATGACAACCTTAACCAAAAACCAAACAAGTCTAGCCACATAATAATAAAGCAAACGCAAAGAAAATAAATAAATAAATAAATAAACAAATTAAACACACGTCATCCTCACCTTTCCCTATCTTGACTTAAAAAACACCCAAATAATTAACAAACACCACCAACAAAAAAAAAAGAAAGAAAGAAAAAAGTGAAAAAAAGTGAAAGCATTAAGCAACGCACCTCTTCTCTGCTTAACGACGACTTTAGCGGGCTGGGCCCGGGTCGCGGGCCCAACCTCGTCCTCCTGCGGCGGAAACAGAACGCCGTCAATTCCCTGAACGGAGATCCGTCCATCAGTGTAAATATCCGGGTCGAACAAATAAGCCGACCCGTCCCCGTGGCCGAACTTAACGGAGCCGTCAGCCTCCTGCGCCGTTACCTTATGAGGCAAACGTAACGTGTCGTAACGGACCTTCCCGAACCGTCTAACGGCGTTATACATGCTCTCTTCGGTCTGATACTCAGGAATCAAGTGATAGTACATAATCTGTTCGGGCGAACCCGGTTCACTCAACTGGTCCGTCGTTAACTTCGCCATGGCCTCGTCGTTAGGAGCCAGCACCGTCAAAACGTAACCCTCCGAAACCAACCGTCCCATCTCCGTAGCCAGCGACGTTAGGTTCACCAGAATATCCGCCATTTCGTTGTAACCACCATAATGGAGGAGCGTTTGGATGAAATCCTTCACCTGCCTCTCGCCGTTGAAGTGGTGCCGGGGGCCGCCGGGTCCCGGCGCCGGCGCCGGCGCAAGTGAAGGCCCCGGCGCCATCGCGTCGTAGATCGGAAGGGCCGGGGGAGAGCCAGGCTTCTGCGGCGGCGCCGGTTTTTTTAACCGGTGCGTCCGCGGGTCGACCTCCGGGGCGGGTTCTGGTTTCACGGCGGCGATGGAGGTGAGGCTCCGGCGGCGGTTGAAGGCGTCTTGGACGGACCGCGGGATGAGGAGGGAGTCGATGCCGTGGATAACTCCGTCGGGTCGGGTCACAGAACCCGGGTGGGTGACCCGGGAGGAGTCAACAATCCAATGAGAGATATTGTGTTTGTTATTTGGAGCTTGAAGAGTGAGGTGGTGGTTTGGAGCTAGGGTTTTAATTCGGGTCGGGTTTGACCCGGGTTGGATGATCCGTGAGGGAACGATGTGGGACATGAGGAGGGTTTGGAGGGAGGGGAGGTTGCGGGGTTCCAAGAGGAAACGCTTGAAATCGGCGTCGAGATTGCGTTCTAGGGCTTCGTTTCTTGGTGCGAAGATTGTGATGTTGTGCTTCATTACCGTGTTTTCGAGCGTTTGGAGGAGCATGGCTTTTTCGACTAACTCTGCTACCTCGGTGTAATGCGAGTCCAACAAGGCCACGAGGATTGAGTTAGAGTTTATTTGGCCCTGTGGCAGAGAGAATGTGAGGGTTGGGAGGAGGAAGAGGAGGAGAAAGGTAACGCCATAGATTCTGCGATCCATGGCTGTTGCGGTGTTGGTTCAGACAGAACAGAGAGAGAGAGAGAGAGAGAGAGAGAGAGAGAGGAAAGAGT